TGTGCCCAGTGACTTACATTAGATATTTGCTGAATTTCACTAACCCTATTGGAAACAAAGGTTTTCCATAGCGTAGGTTCCGCAGCTAACCATGCCAACACTATTGTCGAATCCGTCCAGTAAAAGATTTGATCTGAGTTAAACTCTAAAGCATTTATTACCCTAGCTGTCAGTTTAGCTGCCAGTAATGCCCCGCATAATTCTAGTCGAGGAATCGATATGGTTTTTACAGGAGCCACCCTAGATTTTGAGCAAAGTATAACCTTAACATTTCCTAAAATATCTTGAAATATATGCAAGCCTCACTCGCCTTTTCTGAGGCATCACAAATTGCATGAATTTCTAATTTAACATAAGATTTAATTGTTGCCAGTCTAGGTATTCTAATTTTATTAAGCAATGGCAATTGTTTATGAAATTCACTCCATACAGTAAATAATTCTAGTGGCACAGCTTCGTCCCATTCTAGTTTTAATACACATAAACGCTGTAAAATTATTTTAGCTCTCATCGTTACTGGTCCCACTAGTCCAAGAGGATCAAATATTTTTGCGATTATTGACAAAATATTTCTTTTTGTTACTCTGGACAAAGGAGACATTATGTTAACCATATACTCTAACTCATCGGTTGGATCATTCCAAAAAATACCTAATGTCTTTTTTGTATTATCATCCGTTATAAAGTATCCTAAACCTTTACTATTTTCACCTATTAATTTATTTAAAATATGCCTATTATTTGAACTCCATTTTCTCAAATTAAACCCATATTTACCTAAAATCTCTGAACTGTCCCTTATAAGTTTCATTGCATTTTCTACTGAGTCAGTACCAGTTATCAAATCATCCATATAAAAATCTTGTGATATTATTTTACTTATAGCAAGAGAACAAATTTTTATATCATCTGAAATTTGTTTAAGACACCTAGTTGCCAGATATGACGCTGGACCAGTGCCATAAGTCAAAGTGTTTAAACAATAATGTTCTAAATCGTGTTCTGGAGATGACCTCCACAAAATTCTCTGTAAATCTCATTGAAAGTCCTCAACATCTATCATCCTGTACATTTTCTCAATGTCCGCTGTAACTACTACGTAATGCTGCCTAAATCTCATCAGAATAATAAATAAATCCTCCTGTGTCGTGGGTTCAACCTTCAAAATGTCATTTAAATAAACACCTGATGTTGTTTTAGCCGACCCATCAAACACCACTCTCAATTTTGTTGTAATGCTAGATTCATTAATTACTCCATGATGAGGCAAGTAGAATATCTGATATTGACAGTTGTTTGGTAATAATTTAACAGCCTCTATTTCAATTTTGGTCATATGTCCCATATCTATATATTCTTGCATAAAGTCGTAATACCATTTTCTAAATTCATGATTTTTATTTAATTTAGCTTCCGTCGAGAAAAACCGTTTTTTAGCCATTTCAAAGGAATCTCCTAATTCTCCAACATCCCTACGAATAGGTAATTTAACAACAAACCGACCCATTTCATTTTTTGTAACACTTTTCTTAAACTCTTGCTCACATTCTTCATGCTCACGAGATATTGCCTTTACTAACCCACATTCTTCTACTCTCCAAAATTTTTCTAATTGCTCTTGAATATTTTGATTTACCAATAAATGGCATTTTGCACCCTGATTAATTTTATTTTCACTAAATTCTAAAGATCCTGCTACAATCCAGCCTAGCAATGATATTTGCAATGTTAAAGTTCCTACTTTAAGTTGACCAGCACACAAAATATTAAAAAATATATTTGCACCTAACAATATATCAATTTCTGATTGAATATTAAATTGTGGATCTGCTAAGGTTAAATTTGATGGTATTTGTACCTTTCCCATAATTGTTTTTTGTTTACATCTAGTTTTCTCGATAATATTAATATTAAAATCCTATCCCAAGTATCTACCGGTTCTCCCAATGCCTTTAATACTCTAAAATGTTTTCGAAATATGTCTAAAAACTTTCTTAATACTATAGCCGACTCTATTTTTAATGGTTGCATATCAACTATCGCCTTCAAATGTGTTTGAAAGATCACTGGCTTATTTTCAAAACGTTCTTTCAACAACTTCCACGCTTCTTTATATTTATCTTGCGATTCCTCTAAGGAATCGAGGACTTCTACTGCATCCCCTTGTAGACAACTTAACAAGTAATAATATTTTTGAGACTCATCTAATCTATCATTGTCATTTACCATTGATTTAAATGTTTCCGAAAAGTTAAACCATTTTTCATACTCGCCACTAAATTTTTTCAAATTCATTGCCAGTAAATTTATAGCTGCCTTGTTTACGACACCCTGTATATCAAATGATGCATTCCCAGTACCCCCACTACCTTGTGACGCTTGAATCTTTGCATAATGTGCAGCTATTATGTCTTTTGCGCTACCTACTGCTTGATAAAATATATTTTCAAATTCTACCTGCACCTCCGAAACCGTTTCACTTTCTTGGCTATTAGTTTCTATTTGCATTTGCACATTATCAAATTCATCTATCAATGCTTGCATTCTTTCTAGACGAGCTTCTAATTCTGTTATTTTACCATCTGCTTTAAAATTGGCAAGAAAATTCACAAATCTAGTTAGTTGGCCCTTTAAATGCCCCCTCTTTATAGTAAGACCTTTCAAGTCCATCATATTTTCGCCGTTCTCCATTTACGATTTTTGTTACAGTTTTCGCGCCAAATAGAAACTCTACTGCTATATTAGGATAATAAGATAAACAAGGATAGGTATATTGGAGACTCGCCACTTTCCCTCGCTACTTTGATCTGGGCTCGCTCTCGCTTCTGCTGTCGAATGGAATGCGAATATGGACACCTGCTAGCTGCGTATCCTGCGCTTTCTTCACTGTTGTTTCTTATAGATTGACGAAATTCTGCTATTTGCTTCTTACAAATACACCCCAATAGTTGATTTAATCTTCTAAACTATCCATAAGTTGCTGATTTCCTGATACCCAAATGTAATCAGGTGAGAAGGACCATGTATAGCCCAGCCAATTTACTGGGCTTGAATTTTTCTCTCTTCTGATTTTATTTAATCTAAGACCCTAACTGGTATAATTAAACACCTCACGTTGTTGTGGACTGTATTACTTTATTTTACATACTCGGTACAATATATTTATTTTCATACGCTATCAAAACGTCTATCTATCACGAGTTTTTATAAGTAACTAACTAGTTTGTTAGCCAACATCGACGGCTAGCATGTAGTCCCTACCACCAGTCCTATAGGGTAGGCAACACCTTATACATTCTTAAAAATACCCGACACTCCTGTATACAGTTTTTAAAAGCATTGGTTTTTATAGTTATTTAGCAGTGTAAAGTGTAACTAACATATATAGCAATTACTGTCCATAACAATAGAAAATTTGAAATTACTTAGCTAAATACCAAACATCTGGCCCAGATTTGAACCGGAGCATTTTATTTAATATTTATAACATATTAAAATAAAAAAGTAAAATTTAATAATTTCTGTTAATGTGTGTTCAGCGGGCTGAGTGCGATAAATTTCTCCTGGAAGTGGTGTTACACACAGCCAACTTCGAAGGTCTATGAGTCGCTGCACGACACTGACGGTGGAATACCCAGTTAACCAGCGATTTTGGTTAATGTGCCTTACAACGTTCGTCGAATGAGGACGGTCTTACACACAGTCAAACCCACCGCTGTGCCGCCAACAACGCCGCTGCATTACAGTCCAGCACTTAAGAGTTCAAATTCGGTCAGAAAATAGTCAAAGAGAAATATATCAAAACCTCTAATATAAAAATGAAAATTAAAACTGGTTCATTAGATACAATTGGGGTCCACATAAAGGACATTATAGCCACCATCCAGAAATAGAAAAACAAATAATTTTCAAGATTTATATGTATTATTTAAATTGTTTATTAATTAATAAACTCCCAACCCATAGATGTCCGTTATTGAAAATTAAAGTGAAAGTAAGGGACATTATATAAGGCATATACTGTAAGCACTGTGTAGATCTTCCAGAAAATACAGAATAAAAAAAGTAATCTTCAAAATTCATAAATATTAATTAAATCGTTTATTAATGAGTCCTTTCCATTGAAGTGGAAGATACAGAAAAATATTCATTTTCAAAATTTGGAAGTAAGTAGTGTGCAAATGAAAGCGCTGTGACAGACTGAGGAGCATGAGGAATGAGGAGACCTTGACCCCAGACGACCGAATCAAGGTCTCTCATTCCTCATGCTTCGGACTCTGTCACAGCTCTGTCATAGCTAGAGAGAGAACAAATAAATAAAAATAATTACCGGACTCTATCACAGCTGTCACTATTCTATTTGTAATTGTTTAAAAGTTAAAAAAATGTATAAATAATATATGCATATAAATGTGTTTAGCACATTGTGAATTATTGTAATATGTATCCTGTAATAATGCAAATAAAATTTCAAATTTATTTATTCTTTGCAAATACTTCTAAAGTAAATCGTTATCTTGGAAATATTTAATTGCGAAAATTTCCAAGACTCATCATCAACCGATTTGACAGATATAATGAGAGAACTGTAAGGGCCGGTTGTACAAACCCGGAGCTCAGTGGTTACTCACTTAAGCTGAGGATTACATAAACTGCTGCTGAGTTTAACAATTCGTTGTACAAGTTGCTCCCATCTAGAGTTCAACTGAACCGTGATTTTAACAAAGTTGGTACTGCTGAAGCATGCGTATTAAGCTGTATGTTACATTTCCCGCGTAATTTTTGTCAAAAACAGAAAGGTCTTGTTACTTGTTATTGTCTTGTGAGATTATTTAGTACATTATATAATCCATTCCTATTTGGTAATACACATTTTTTTAATTCTTGTGAATTTAAGATTATCTGTGTAAGATAGTAAATTATATTGAAAATATAAAGTATTACTTAGGCATTAGTTATAGAGGTGGAGGTTTCGTTCTTTGCAATTTATATTAAGAAAAATGAATAAAGATAAAAAGAGATCAGTAAATTTTAGTGCCAAAGAAGAAGGAATACTAATCAGTTTAATAAAAAAGTACCGCTCTGTTATTGAATGCAAGTTAACAGATTCAATAAACACAACGGAGAAAAGTAACTGTTGGAAGCGCATTGAAACAGAATTTAATGCAATAAATTGTGAAATATTTAGGAGTCAAAAGGTATTGCATAAAAAATATGACAACATAAAGAAAAGAGCAAAAAAGAAATTTGCAGAAGAAGAGTGCTACATGAGAACAACGGGCGGTGGTCCCCCTATGGATGTGAAATGGACAGAAACCGAAAACAGCATAAAAGAAATTTTAGGCAGTAGGATGGAAGGTTTTCCATCAGAATTTGATTATGATTGTAGCAGTAAGTAGTAATTATTCATAAAAAAATCAGTACCTATGCCTATGTCTTAATTTATAGCTATATCTATAGACGATGCAACCCAGAATAACACAGGGAATGAACCAGCTACGTATTTTAATGGTAATAATGTATTTTGATTATCTAGTGCTGTTATACCATTTACATTTATGTGTTACTTACTTTTAGGTGATGATTCACAAATTTCAATGAGTCTTGAAAATCCTATAATAACTGTATGGAGCATGGTGATTATAAAAGTGTAGGTATTATAATTATTGTGTTATCTAAATAGTATGTTTCATTTTTAGACTATGTAATAGACACTTCTGGAGCTGAAAATGGAAATATGTCTCATTCTCGTTTATCTGGAGTCGAGTCTAAAATAGATGAATCTGAATGTAGTAAAGACTTCCTCACAAAGTAATTAAAAAAGTTCATGTTTTATAAAATTAAATTGTAGGTGTGGCTGAGCAAAACTGGGGAAAATACACACCCACAATGTTGCGATCGAAGAAATCGAAGGCACTTACACCTAATTTTAGAGGTATTTTTGAGTTATAGTTTTTAATATTTCTTTAAAAATATTTTTCTTCACAGATACTTCAAAACATAAAGGTACTGAAGATATCACTAAAAAAATTAGTCAGTGGGCAGATGCAAAATGTGCCATTGAAAGTTCTAAAGACAAGCAAAATGAAGCAGAATATGCATTAAAGTTAGAACAAATGCAAGAAAAACACAATTTCGAAATCGCTTTATTAAAGGAAGAGTTCAGGAAAAAATGGAAATGTTAGAAGCTGAACATAAAATTCGCTTGGAAATTTTACTCTTACAAAAAGCAAAACTGCAAAATAATTAATTATATTTGAATGTTTCATTTGTTAGTTTTCTAAATAAATTATTATCGTGTAAGAAGTATTTTCATTAGCAAATTTGAATAAAGCTGAAGTTTGTATTTAAATGTTATTTTCATGTAAATAATACAGTTCAAAGAATTAAAAAATTTATATATTTATTTTATTACATTACAACTACAATACATTAATAGTGTTTTTTACTTTAAATAGAACATAACATGTACATCTATTGCCTCAATTCATTAAAATAATTAATAAATTGATGCCTAATCAAGTTATTTACATTAACTGCCCCAATTTCTCTAATATTTTCATTTGGAACATTGTCTGCAATATCAATTGCAACTTGTTCTTCTTCATTAGGTGGAGGCATTGGATCCTTAAATAAAAGTGCAATATTATGCAAAACTGATGTAGCAACCACAACTGCTTCCACTTTCGTTGGCTTCAGACGTATTCCAAACGCTAATATAGGAAATCTTCGCTTCCATACCCCAAAACACCTTTCAATAGGGTTTCTAGTTCTAATTTGTCTAACTGAGGATTTAGAAGAGGCGTTAAAAGATATAGTCGTACAGCATATCCACTGTTTCCCACTAACACATATCCATTGAATCTATTAGTTTCAAAATCTGCCCTCACATTTGAATTATTAAAAATAGTAGAATCGTGTGCAGACCCTGGACATCTGCACACTATGTTGATTATTTTTCCATTAGCATCACAAATTACTTGGACATTATAAGAAAAAAAGTTCTTCCGGTTTCTAAAATTTTCTGGTTCTTGGCCTCCGGGTGATGAAATTTTCACATGCGTACAGTCTAATGCACCGATACACTTTGGAAAACGACTTATGTTATAAAATTTTTGGCTCGCTATTTGCATGTCTTCTTCAGTTTGTGGCATTTTAATGAAAGTTGTATTAAGTCTTGCAATTGCACGGCACACTTTGTCTACAATTCTACTCGCTGTTGACTTGTCTACTCCTATAAAATCAGCATTTACTTGTAAAAATGCTCCCGTAGCAAGAAAACGTAATGTTAGAAGAACCATTTCTTCTGCACTTACTGCATGATTTCTGAAATATAGATTTATATTTCATTAGATACTTACTAGCAAAGCAATTGTAATTATAATTATATATTACCTGTCTGTATGTGATGAAATTTGATTTTCAATATTTTCTATAATAAATCGGACTGCATTCTTTGATAATCGAAATCTCTTTATAAATTCGTTCTCATTCCATATCTCAAAATGATTTTGTCTATTTCTATAAGTTTTTGGTGCCCTTGGATGTGCAATTATATTAACGAGTTGAAGAAAATCTTCATCATCACTTAATATTTTTTGTTGAGTTTTTACGAAAAAATACAAGTTTATTCAATTTGTTTCTGTTAGTTGAACACCAACTAACCTAACACCTAACCTACAAAACGATAAAAATAACGAATTTGATTTAAACCAATGCTGAGCCTAGGGCAAACGGAAGCTCTGTTTAACACGGAGTTGAGCTTTGCTTAAATAGAAAGCTTTGTATGTACAACTGGAAATGACAGTTCATCACAAGCTCAACGGTGAGCCCTCATTTGAGCTCTATTATACAACCGGCCCTAAGAGGAATAATCACGTAAATGAAGTGGAAGTGAAAACCATTTAAAACAGTGTATCTACACAACAGTTCTCCAAGAAAATTATGAATACGATCTATAAAGTTTTAAAGAATGTTTATTTTTTATGGGTCTAGCCAAAATACCGATACATAATGCTAAACAAATTTTATATGCCTTCAAAAAGTGTGCCTCACATTTTGGAAGGGACTATGAAAATAAAATATCCAGGAAATTTATTAGTTATATCGCCCCGTGATTTTCATAGTAAATCCCTTGTCGATGCGTCAGTAGAGCGGATAATGTTCCTGTTAACTGGCCTGTGAGTTCACCAGACTTACACCTTGCGACTATTATCTTTGGGGCACTTTGAAAACAACAATATGCTTCCACATCTAACGCTGAAGAAGAGTTGTGAAGGCATATCCAAAATGCAATAAATGTTTTAAAAAATAGGCCTTAAGAACTGCATAGGGTGTTTTTTAACTTTCTTCGTCGAATTGACCTCTGTTGTAGAAACAATGATGGCCATTTTGAATAGTTTTTGTAATAAGTTGTACTAAATTTAATAACATCAACTTTGTTACTTTTATCTGCAGCATTTTTTTATTGTATTTGATTGTTTTTATTAATTATCTCAATAAAATTAGGCATGCTGTAAATAACTCTAATTCGTCATATGTGTGTGTATCCTCGTGGGATGCTCTTCACCACAGTTGGCGTATTTAGCCGAGGTCTTCGAGCACAGCCAGCCATTTGACAGCCAGGGCACAACAGCTGCTGGGCGCGGTCCTGGCACGCTGAGCCTCGACCCTAACGACGAGGTGGCAGCATCTTGTTACCTTTAGGAGGTCGTACCGTTGGTCATTCTGAAAACATAAGAGACATTGACACCCTGTTCCAGAAGATCAGATCGGATTTCTTCATTGGAAATCCCATCTCATCACGGTACTCAGTGTCCACTCGTTTGGGAGGGAGAAAGTGTGGAATTCTTTATCCTCGTCCGCGAGAGTGCGCGTGATAACCATCGGGCGTTTGCTGGTGAATGGCGATACCTTCATCCGTCAACCTAATCCTGGTGGTAAAGCAGATTTTCTTGCTGACTTCTAACCATTGCTCCTTCTTGCGAAGGATGACCGGCGGTATTTTATCGGCTTTCTCTGCGGAGGCAGCGCTCTCCGACGTCATCGCTGGCTTGGTCTCAGGGGCCTTTCTCGCCTATTCGACAACGGGTATCTCCGCCGCCTTCGCAGGCTTCTTCTTCGACATGCTTGGCTCTTCCTTTTAGGGGCCTGTTGCTCCTTAAGGGTGTTTAGAAATTCCACATGTTGCTCTCAGAAAAGCGTTCAAGGACTCTTGAACGCCTTTCTTTGTTCTCTCAGTTCGATCTTGAGATCATCGAATATCTGTCGCAGCCTGGCATTCTCTTTTGCCAGCTCTTTCTTGTGGCTATGACTCGTGAGTGACCTAGGGGAGCCTGGCCTGCTGTCGCCGGAATCGTTGCGCCCGAGCAGTCGCCCTCCATCGGGGTTGGAGACCTCGACAGAGCACCTTCCTCCCGAGCAGTGATACCTGTAACGAAAATGCCAGTGGCCTCTCTGCCTAAGCTGAGATTACCTCGGTTGTTAATAATGAAAAATGAAAAGAATTCTTTACAGGTCCTAATAAAGGCTAAACTTTTTTTGTAAAGCTTCCACTTCACTGTTCCTCGCACCGAACACTCATTACTTCTCTGCACAGACACGTTCGCACAGCTCGGCTGCGCGCTTGGAACTACTACTTGATAGATCGTAGTGATGTCAATAATGTAATTTTTCGTTACTTTTTATCCGCTACTTGAATAAGTAACGAATACTGAGTAATCGATGAGAAAAGTATTCGATACTTATTACTTTTTAAGCAGATATTCTTTTCCAAGTCGATACATGTAATCACGATAATCGGTAATACTCGGAATCGGTTCGGAATATTTATTGAACGCTTGTATTTCAGATTTGGTATTATATTTTACTGAATCGTCTAATACTCATAGATACAATAATTCGTTTTGGGTCTCGGAATATTTATCATGTATTCGTTCGACGGGTATCTCAAGGAAGAAGTAGTCGCGTAGTCGTCATCCTATAGGATTGTTACTTAAGATGAAATGCCTTTTTGTTGACATTTAATTAAACAGCTGTAAAATATATTTAATCCGTAATTAATCAATGTAATTATTTAATTCGTAGTTTGCTGCAGTATAGTAGATACATACATATCATATGTATATACATATATATATATATATACCTGAAGAACGTAATAAATAAACAAACAAAACTTTAATTATTTATATATTNCGAGACAACATGAACGGAACATGATCGGAGCACAGTACCCTAAGTGAAAACCAGCCTTAAATCAGTAATTAACCAATGTAATTATTTAATTCGTAGTTTGCTGCAGTATAGTATATACCTGTGCACCTGAAGAACGTATATAATATATAAACATACAAAGCTTAAATTATTTATATATTTATTAACATTTAAATAAATAATTATTTTCTAAATTTATTTTAAACAAAAAAAAATATTTGTATTCTACTCTTGTCTTATATAAATTAGAAATACCTAACGAAAAAATAAATATCCAAAGTAACAAATAACGTAATTTATTAATTCAAAACTATTTACTGTTTTGTGCGAATGCTTACTACTACAAAGTTTTATGAATAAACAAAAAATCGTTGCAGTTTAGAAAAATGATTTTGTTTACATATTTTAATCTATTATTGCGCCGTTCTGTTATGATTTGACCTGCCTTAGAGAATATACCTTCACTTGGAACAGATGTAGCCACGATGGATAAATGTTTTTTTTTGCTAATATTGACAATGTAGGGTATTTCGAGCAAGTAGTTGACTTTTGCGGGAAGTCGGCGTAGAAACAAAGCCGCATATCGTGCCGGCCGGAACT